TCCCTGTGCCTTGCCCTTCCTATTCACCTGATCTTACCCCTAGCAACTTTTGTTTGTTTTCCTGGGTGAAAAACGTCCTCAAAAGGAAATATTTTTTGCTGATATGGAAGAGGCAAAACAAAAAAACAAAACAAAAAACGGCAGAAGCACTAAAAGGCGTCAAAATTGACAAGTTCAAAAACTGAGCAATGGAAAAGTCATCTTGATAGGTGTATGGCATCAGACAGAGAGTACTTTGAAGGTGACTGAAGTTTAAACATGTAAGAGTACATAATTTTTTATAAATCAATTCTAATTTTTGTTATAAGGGTTTTGATTTCTTTACATCCTCCCTGATGCTTATTATTATCTGGCCTTTTTATTATAGCCTTCCTAGTGGCTCTGAAATAATATCTCATTATGGTTTTGATTTGCATTTCTCTGGGGATAACTTTATTGTCCTTGTTGGCTATTTGTAAATCTTTGGAGAAAATTGTCTATTCAGATTCTTTGTCTATATTTTAATTTATTTGTCTTTTTATTATTTATTTATAGGAGTTCTTTATGCATCCTAGATATAAGTCCTTTAACAGATGTATGACTTGCAGGTATTTTCTCCTTTTCTGTGGGTTGTCTTTTCACTTTCTTGACAGTATTCTTTGAAGAACAAAAGTCATTAAATTTTTGTGAATTCCAATTTATTTTTTCTTTTATTGCTTGTGTTTTTGGTGTTGATCTAAGAAACCATTGCTAGTCCAATGCCATGAAGAGTTATGTCTATATTTTCTCCTAAATTTTAGCTCTTACATGTAGGTCTTTGATCCATTTTGAGTTAATTTGTGTATATGGTATGAGGTAAGGATCCAACTTCATTATTTTATATGCGGCTATGCAGTTATCCTGGGCATCATTTTTTGAAAAGACTGTGCTTCCCCATTGCATTGTTTTGGCACCCTTTTGAAAACCAGTTGATCATAAATATGAGGATTTATTTCTGAACTCTCAATTCTAGTCCTTTGAGCTGTATGTCTGTCCTTATGTCAGTACCACCCTGTCTTATTACTGTAGCTGCATAGTACATTTTAAAATTAGGAAGTATGAATCCTCCAACTATGTTCTTTTTCGAGTTTGTTTTAGCTATTCTAGATTGCTTGACTTTCCATATGAATTTAGTATCAGCTAGTAAATATCTGTGAAGATGCCAGCTGGGATTTTAACAGAGAGATTACAGTGAATCTGCAGATCAATTTGGGAACTATTGCCATCTATGAACATGAAGTTCATTTCCATTTATTCAGGTCTTTTGTTTCTTTCAACATTGTTTTATAGTTTTCAGAATATAAGTTTTACACTTCTGTGAAATATATCCTAATATTTTATTCTTTTTGAGACAATTATGAATGTTTTCTTATTTCCCTTGTAGAGTTGTTTAATGCTAGTGAATAGAAATACTACTGTTTTTTGTTTGTTTGTTTTAAAGAGATGGAATCTCACTGTTTCCCAGATTGGCCTCGAGCTCCTAGGCTTAAGGAATCCTCCACCTCCAGCCTCCTGAGTGGCTAGGACTACAGGGATGTGTGTGCCTCCACACCAGGCTGATGTTTATATATTGATCTTGTTTCCTGCAGCTTTGCTGTACTTATTTATTACTTTTTAGTGGATTCCTTAGGATTGTCCATATACAAGATTTTGTCATCCACAGATAGAGAATTTTATTTGTTTATTTACAATCTGGATGCCTTTTACTTCTTTATCTTGCCTGGTTGCTCTGGCTAGAACCTCCAGTACACATTCTAGAAGTGGCGAGAGCAGATAGCCTTTTCTTGTTCTTGTCCTTAGAGGGAACACATTCAATCTTTCACCATTAAATATAATGTTATCTTTGGGTTCTTTGTAGTTGTCCTTTACCAGGTTTAGGAAATTCCCTTCTATTTCTACTTTGTGGTGTGTTTTTATCATGATAGAGTATTTGTATCTATTGTGATGGTCATGTGATTTTTGTTCTTCGTTCTGTTGATAATGGTATATTATATTAATTGCTTTCCTCTGATAAATCTTACTTGGTCATAGTGTATAATTTTTTTAATGTGCTGCTACACTTAGTTAGCATTTTGTTAAGGATTTTTATGTCTGTATTTTTAAGATATGTCTTTCTATAGTTTTCTTTTTTATAATGGGTTTGTCTGGTTTTGCTAGGATAATACTGCCCCCATAGAATGAGTTGAGAAATAGTCCCACCTCTTATGTTTATTGGAAGAATTTGTGAAGAAATGGTATTCATTATTTTAATGTTTGGTAGAATTCACCAATGAAACAATCTGAGCCTGAGTTTTCTTTGTGGGGTATAATTTTTTTTTTTTTTTGAGTTGGAGTCTCACTCTGTCACCCACACTGGAGTGCAGTGGCCACTCCTGGCCACTGCAGCCTCGACCCACTGGGTTCCGGCGATCATTCCGCCTCAGCCTTCCAAGTAGCTGGAACTAAAGGTGTGCGCTACCACGCCTGGCTGATTTTTTGATTTATTGTAGAGATGAGGCCTTGCTGCCCAGGTGGGTCTCGAACCCGTGGGCTCAGGCAGTCCACTTACCTCAGCCTCCCAAAGGCGTGGGATTACAGGCTGAGCCACCGAGCCCAGCTAATTTTTTTTTTTAACTGATTCACTTTATTGTTATAGGTCTATTCAGATTTTCTGTTTCTTCTTGAGTCAGTTTTAGTAGTTTGTAGCTTTAGGAATTTGCCCATTTCATCTAAGTTGTTTAATTTATTGGCATAGAATCATGCATAATAGTTCCTTATAATTCTTTTTATTTACTTAAGAGTAGTGGAAATGTCCAGAGGGGATGACCTTAGAGCTTAGTTCTTAAGGATATAGGTGTAGGGCATGTAGTGACTTGGAAAGAAAAAGAGCAACTAAGGAAGAGAAAAGGACATAGGTAGTGATAGAGAGGCAAGAAATACCATTATATTTTTGGGCAGCTGCATGCAGTTCACTATGGCTAGAATCTAGGGGTATAAAAGATACTGACAAGTTAATGCCAGAAAAACAGACAGACAATGGGTGAAGGCATCTCTTTGACTGTGCCGGTCATTTGTGTTTTATATCATAGGCGATGGAGAATTATGTATTTTGAGCATGATCAGATATACCTATTGGAAGGATCATTGACAATGGTGGTACACATGAATTGAGGCAGATGAGGGGCAGGGGGAATTGGTGGTAGGGAAGCTTGTCTGTTTCTTGTAGTCTTTAATCACCAAAGATTGCAGAAAGTAACCAACTCCCTCTATGCTTCTGACATTTTTCTACCAAGTCTTTTAAAGTTCAGTAGGCCCATAGGTAGTCTGATTTTTATACTAAAATATTAGGTAGTTGAACCAGCTAACTAGCTATTGATATAAGGGTTGCTTTTTTTTTTTAAGCTATTTTCCGCCTCAGTCTAACCACTTGTAACCTTGTACTTCATTATATTGAAAAGTGCCCTCTTCACCAGCATTTGGCTTGACTTGTGAAACCATCCTTTATCTAATCACTGTGAACAAGAAAACTTAATTTAAGTACCAGTGTTGGATAGGCTTAAGACACATACCCATCCCTGCAGCCAGGTGGTTAGGTAGTGTGGTTGGCAGTCCTGTTTGAGTCCCAAAGAGGGGACAGTTGAAATGAAATATGAGGGTCTGACCTAAGAATATCTGTAGTTTAATATTTATTGGATATTTCCTATCATCACTCTATCATAAAGTTTATAATGAAATAAAATAGCTATACTACTTTCTTATGCCTTTTGTCTCTGGTTAGGTAGAAGAAGGTATTGTTATATTCAAAGAGAAGATAATGTTACTATTTTTACATAACTTATTAGATAATTTGGGGAACTAGCTCATAATTTTTCTTACACTTGGGTAGTTTGAAAGTAAACTTCCAAACCATTTTCATAAAAATTGTTTCATATTTTAAAATATTTGAGGGCCAGGCTCAATTCAGCCTGTAATACCAGCACTTTGGGAGGCCAAGGCAAGTGGATTGCCTGAGCCTGCAGTTTCGAGACCTGCCCAGGCAACTTTTTATCGTCTCTACAATAAATAAAAATAAAAATAAAAAAAAAAATTAGCTGGACGTGGTAGCACTTGCCTGTAGTTCCGGCTACTTGGAAGGCTGAGGTAGAAGGATCCTTGGAGCCCAGCGGGTCAATGCTGGGGTGGCCATGAGCATGACACTGCACTCCAGCCTGGGTGACGGAGTGAGACTCCAACTAAAAAATATATATATTTGAGAATGTTAAGTAGAAAGGGACCTTGGAGATTAACTAGTTCAGCCTCATCATTTTACAGATGTTTGCATGTTTTTTATTCTGTTTCTGTATTTTTTTCTTTTCATCTTGTATTTCTTCTCTTACCTTTTATATGTAACTAAGTAAGGGAGTCCAACACATTTGATGTTTTTGTGAAATGAATTTTAAAATTTCTGTTTCTCCTTTTTAAAAGGATATGAGGAGTTATATATGATTTTAAAAATTAAGTTGCTTTCTAATGGAGCTTTATTCTGTAGATAAATTGCTTTCAACTAAGTAAACAATTTTCAAAAATTAAAAATTGCCTTTCAGAGTCCTTAGTATACTTTTCCTTCTTTTAAAGTTTCTATCTTCCTAACATGAAGAAAATAAAAAAGAAAAGTCTTTCTAATCCAAATGGTTCTTGCTATTCTATCCAGCTTCCTGAGCCTGAGATCTGAATCACTTACATAAATCCCATGTTCTCCCTCTGGTTCTTCCTTGCATCTATTTTCTTAGTATCAGTTGTATTTTTCATCTACCTTCTGAAGACAAAGAGCTTAGAAATGTCTCAGAGTAAGTTGTATGTTAATCCACTTTCAGTAGCATTCAGCTTTTGTACCTTCATTCAATGAAGTTTCTCCTTTCTGGATACATATAAAAGTGTAGCTCTCTAGCACATTTTAAAGTCACTTGAAGATCCTTAAAAACACAGGACTAGGTAACATTTGCATTTTTAATTCCTTTTACCAGAATGGGAGACCATGACTGAGAATGAGGAAGTGACATCAAAGCCAAATATTTCTCAAAGAGCAGACTCTCATAAAGGAACATCAAAAAGACTTCAAGGAGGTATCCCCAAGGCCCTTGATTTTGAGGAAGAGTGTGAATGGCAAGTTTTGGCAAGTCAGTGGGAAAGTGAAATAGAGGAAAGGACAGATAAAGTGAAGAAAATTTCCCTTTGTGAACAAGACAAGAAGAAAAGGACTTCACCAGAAAAACGAGGCCAAAAGTGGAAGGAATTTGGAGAAAGCTTGACTTTAGGTTCAGCTATTTCTGAAAGTTTAATAGGTATTGAAGGAAAGAAGTTTTATAAATGTGATATATGTTGTAAACTTTTCAATAAAATCTCCCATCTGATAAACCATCGGAGAATCCACACCGGTGAGAAACCTCATAAATGTAAGGAATGTGGAAAAGGCTTTATTCAGCGCTCAAGCCTTCTAATGCATTTACGGAACCATTCTGGGGAGAAACCTTATAAATGTAATGAATGTGGGAAAGCATTTTCTCAAAGTGCTTACCTTCTAAACCATCAGAGAATCCACACTGGGGAAAAACCTTATAAATGTAAGGAGTGTGGAAAGGGCTTCTATAGACACTCAGGCCTTATTATACATCTAAGGCGCCATTCAGGGGAGAGACCTTATAAATGTAACGAGTGTGGGAAAGTCTTCTCTCAGAATGCTTACCTCATTGACCATCAGAGGCTCCACAAAGGGGAAGAACCTTATAAATGTAGTAAGTGTCAGAAGGCTTTTATTCTGAAGAAGAGCCTCATTCTGCACCAGAGAATCCACTCTGGGGAAAAACCCTATAAATGTGATGAATGCGGAAAAACCTTTGCTCAAACCACTTACCTCATTGACCATCAGCGACTCCACAGTGCAGAGAACCCTTATAAATGTAAAGAATGTGGGAAAGTCTTCATTCGAAGTAAAAGCCTCCTTTTACACCAGCGAGTCCACACAGAAAAGAAAACCTTTGGTTGCAAAAAGTGTGGGAAAATTTTTAGTTCGAAGTCAAACCTCATTGACCATAAGAGAATGCACAGCAGAGAGAAACCTTATAAATGCACTGAATGTGGGAAAGCCTTCACTCAGAGTGCTTACCTTTTTGACCATCAGAGACTCCACAATGGGGAGAAACCCTATGAATGTAATGAATGTGGGAAAGTTTTTATTCTTAAGAAGAGCCTCATTTTACATCAAAGGTTCCACACTGGAGAGAATCTCTATGAATGTAAAGATTGTGGCAAGGTCTTTGGTTCTAACAGAAACCTCATTGACCATGAGAGACTCCACAATGGGGAGAAGCCATATGAATGTCGAGAATGTGGGAAAACCTTTATTATGAGCAAAAGTTTTATGGTCCATCAGAAACTTCATACACAGGAGAAAGCCTACAAATGTGAGGACTGTGGGAAGGCTTTCAGTTACAATTCAAGCCTGCTTGTACATCGGAGAATCCACACTGGAGAAAAGCCCTTTGAATGTAGTGAGTGTGGGAGAGCTTTCAGTTCAAATAGAAACCTCATTGAACATAAGAGAATCCACAGTGGTGAGAAACCCTATGAGTGTAATGAATGTGGAAAGTGCTTCATTCTGAAGAAGAGCCTCATTGGACATCAGAGGATTCACACGAGGGAAAAATCTTATAAATGCAGTGACTGTGGGAAAGTCTTTAGTTACCGCTCAAACCTTATAGCCCATCAGAGAATCCACACCGGTGAGAAGCCCTATGCATGTAACGAGTGTGGGAAAGGCTTTACTTACAATAGAAACCTTATTGAACATCAAAGAATTCACAGTGGGGAAAAAACCTATGAATGTCATATATGTAGAAAAGTCCTTACCTCTAGTAGAAATCTTATGGTACATCAAAGAATCCACACTGGAGAGAAACCTTATAAATGTAATGAGTGTGGAAAAGACTTTAGTCAGAATAAAAACCTTGTTGTACATCAGAGAATGCACACTGGGGAAAAACCTTATGAGTGTGAGAAGTGTCGGAAGTCCTTTACTTCTAAGAGGAATTTAGTTGGCCACCAGAGAATCCACACAGGGGAGAAACCCTATGGGTGTAATGATTGTAGTAAAGTTTTTAGGCAAAGAAAAAACCTTATGGTACATCAGAAAATTCATACAGATGAAAAACCTTGTGAATGTGATGAGTCTGAAAAAGAATTCTCTCAAACTTCAAACCTTCATCTTCAACAGCAAACCCATACCGTTGAGGAATTCTCTTGGCTACAAAATACCAATGAGCCCAAGTTTGAGATTCAGAAACTCTAGTGTCATATGCAAAATGGAATAGAATTTTTGCCTACATAAGTAACTCTGGAGGAATGGTATATAGTTCTAAGGAAAAAGTTTATGATCAATCCTTTTATGGATAAGTGAGTTGCATACAGAAAGTTAAACTTTCAGGTGTACAAAAACAATGGAGTTGTAAGTAATAGCAAGAATATCTTTGTATTAAAAAGTGGATGTTGTTTCTGGAAATATGTGTAGTGTACACTTTAAAGATGGCATCACTGCTGTAGAAAGGTGTGTAGACAATATGATCCAGAATGTCAAAGGTGGAATTGAGTGGACAAGAGTCTGCTATGAGAGGACAACCTAAGAAGAGCACTGGATTTGGAATCTAAAGACCTAGGTTTGGGTACTGGCTTTTTCCTTTAGCTGTGTGATATTATTAAATCAGTCTTTAAGCATCAATTTATCTGTCAGTCAGATGTTGACATGATGCCTACCTACCTCACAGGGTTGTTGTGAGGGTTAAGTGAAAGGATCTTTGTGAAAGTATTTTGTGAAATCATTCAGTTGTCAATAAAGTTGGATAGGAGAGATATTGTCAAAGTCTAGAACATGGCATAATTTAAGTACATCAATTTAGAACGAGGGGGATTCCATGAACCTCAAAGATTCTCGTTTTGTTTGTTTTTGAGTTGGAGTCTCACTCTGTCGCCCAGACTGGAGTGCAGTGGCCACTCCTGGCCACCGCAGCCTCGACCTGCTGGCTCCGGCAATCCTTCCACCTCAACCTTCCAAGTAGCCGGAATTACAGGCATGCACTACCACGCCTGGCTGATGTTTTGATTTATTGTAGAGATGAGGTCTTGCCGCCACCTAGGCTTGTCTCGAACCCGTGGGCTCAGGCAGTCCACTCACCTCAGCCTCCCAAAGGCGCGAGATTACATGCTGAGCCACCGGGCCCGGCAAGATTCTCATTTTTATAAGAAGTATGGTGAATAGTTAACTTTGGAATTTAGTGCTATAAGAATAATATTTTTTAAATTTGCCTTTACAATGTCAAAGGAAGTTAATAGTTAGCATATCTAGTTTGTGTGTATGGAAGAAATATTGGCCAGCCATTAATGATGCCAGGGAAAACTATTTTCCAACCTCTGAATTAGAAACAACAGATGTCAAGTGTCACAATGAAAACACAATACTATGTTGCTTCCCTTGATCATTGATTTAAAAGAAAAAAATCCTTGACCCCAGCAGCTGAGGGGATGATCCCTGCCACAGTCATTCTCAATTCTAATTAACTTTTCATCATTACTGTCATGTGATAGCTTGTTGCTTGTGCAACATTTTGTCCCAGCACTTAATTTACTACATAATTTTTTTACACAGAGCCAACCTCTTCAAGTGTTGATTAAACCCTTGCAGCATCCATTTCTGGGCAGTTCTTGTTCATTACTCCCTATGAGCCATTCATTCAGCTGTTCCCTTTTGTACATTTGTAGGTTTCATTTACCCTACATTCTTGAGCTGAAAAGTTTATGCTGTAATTCTCAAAACTCCGGTTCTATAGCTGGACTAGAAATATCTGAATATAAGAATCGTATTTTCTAGTATTAGTAATGTCAAAGTGGTGTGTTGATTATAATAAATGTTATTAATTCAACCCCACAGCTTTCTGAGGGCTGGCTCCCCAAGATTGAAAACTGGAATGGACTTAAGATCTGGATGTGATTCAGGTTCGTCCACTTTTGAACAAGGCCCTTCACTTCTTGGAGACTTGATTTCCTCATCTGTTAAACAGAAGGGAAAATATCTACCTCACAAAGTTGTTAGGAGGTAATGGATATGAAAATGCTTCATATCCATGCTGTAGAATAATCACCCCAGATTATATGATAATTATAAAGGGACATATGTAGTTTAACAGTGAAGAAAAAAGGCTGGGCACAGTGGCTCAAACCTGTAATTCCATCAATTTGGGAGGCCTGGGTGAGGGGATTATCTAAGCCCATGGGTTAGTGAACAGCCAGGTAACTTGAGACCTCATCTCTACTGTAAAAAATAAAAATAAAGAGCCCAATGGGTTGATGCTGAGGTGGCCGTGAGCATGCCACTGCACCTCAGCCTGGGCAATGGGGTGAGACTCCAACTCAAAAAGAAATTCCAAAAAAAAAGAAGAAAGTTGTCATTTACCTCGTAACCAAGTAGCAGAATGTAATGTTGCTAAGACAGCTCACATAATGTGCCTCCTCGTGTGATGGTAGTCAGCCCCAAAATGTTCAATCTGATTTAGCCTAATTGCCAGTTTACAAGAAATACAGGAAGTAAAAAAGCAAAAGACACCTTGAGAAACAGACAAATCCAGAAAATGGAATATTGTATAAGAAAACTGCCCTGAATTCTTCAAAATGTCATCATGATGAAAGAGAGAAGTGGACATTGTTGAAACTGGATGAGTAATCTGGGAGTTCATTATACTGTTCTCTGCTTTTGTGTATGTGTGAAAATTTCCATAATCAAAAGCATTAAATGTGAATGAGGGTTTAAAAAAGAAAAATTCTAAAGAGCCATTAGATACTAAGAACCAGAAGTAGACTCACACAAATGCCCAAGTGATTTTTGACAGGTGCAAAAGCAATTTAGTGGAGGAAGGATAGCATTTTCTAATGCTGATGGAGCAAGTGGATATGCATAGGTAAACAAACCAACAACTTTAGGACTAAGACTAAGTGAAGACGTCTTAAATGACATCAAAAGCATACTCCTTAGAGGAAAAGAAAAATGTTAAATTGGAACTTATCAAAATTAAAATAATTTGTTCTGCAAAAGACCCCTTTTATGGGGATGAAAAGACATTGCAAATCATATATCCAGTAAAGAATTTGCATCTAGACTACAGAAAGAACTTTCCAAACTTAACAGTAAAAAAAAAAATCTAATTAGAATGTGAGTACAAGACAGGAACATTTCACCAAAGTATAGATAGCAAATGAGAAGATGCTTAACATCATCAGCCATTAGGGAAATACAAGTTAAAATCATGAGATACAATCATGTTCCTATCAGAATAGCTAAAATTAAAAAATAATATCAGTGCTGGCAAGGATGCAGAGAAACTAGATCTCATACATTGCTGGGAATGTAAAATGGTGCACCCATTCTGGGAAATAGTTGGCATTTTCTTGTAAAAACCAAACATGTATAGATGATACGCCTCAGTATCACACTTCTGAGCATTTGTTCCATACATGTACACAAAAATTTGTACATGAATGTTCGTAGCAGATTAATTCATAATGATCAAAACCTGTAGACAACCTAAATATCCTTCACCAGTTGGTTAAAACAAACCATGGTATATTTATACCATAGAATATTTGCTGCTGTACAATTAAATGAAATGACTTACTGATAGCCAGCCACAACTCAAATAAATGTCAAGGGAATTAATGCGAGTGAAAATGCCAATTCCAGAAGTCTATCATACTCTGCATGATTCTATCCATATAATATTCTCAAAATAACAAAACTATGGACATGAAAAACAGATGAGTTGTTACCAGAGGTTAAGGATGGTAGGAGGGAGAATGGGGAGAGGGTTAAATGGAACTGTTGAGAGGTAGCACCAGGAAGGACTTTGTGGTCATAGAACACTTGTGTATTTTGATTGTACTGGTGGTTACACAAATCTACAGGTGATAAAAATGAAAAAAATATAAACGCACTGTACTAATGTTGATTTCCTGATTTTGATATTATTATGTAATATGTAATCATTAGGGGAAATAGGGGTAAAGGGTACTGTCTTTGCAATTTCCTGTAAATCATTTCTAAATTAAAAGTAAAACAAACAAAAAAAAAACCCAAACTAAAGAGCATAACCAAATACAGTGTGTGAGACTAATTGAAAAAAGAATTATGACATATGTTTTAGGACAGTTGGGAAAATTTGAATATGACTGAGTATTAAAGGGTCTTAGGAAATTATTGTTAATTTTCTTACCTGTGATGATAGTGGTGTTTGAAGAATATTTTAAAGGGATACATGCTGAATTATTTGGAATGAAGTGTTCTGACACCTACAACTTTTTTTAAAAAATGCTTTTAAGTATGTATAGAGAGATCAGGCAAACAAAGTCTTCATCGTATTCAAGTGGAGGAGACGGGTATTCAGTGTACCGTTCTTTCAACTTTTCTGTACTGTTTGATATTTTCAAAATAAAACGTTTAAGGGATATTATCAGTGCTTTTCTACAGCTTAATGTTTTGTAGCCTCAGGCTCCCGGGCGCGCGCCTCGCCCGAGTGTTCATGCCCTGCCGGGGATGGGCCCCTCCCTGAGGATCAGATCCTCTACCCTCCTTCTGAGCGCTCTGACCCTATCCTCGGGCAGGGGCGACCTTGGACACCCATAGAGAAGAAAGCACCTCCGAGATTCCTAGAGAGGCCAGCCTGGCGACTTGGGGATCCGGAAGCCCGTCCCGAGGCACTTCCTGTCCGGTCATTGTTCTCGCGCCGGTGGAAGCCGGTGTCCCGGTCCGTCATCTTCTTGCTTCAGAGCTGGTGAACTCGGGCTGTACCTCTCAGCTGCGCACGGTGAGCCGGGTCGCCGGGGGTGGATACGAACGTCGGGGAAGGAGGGGCTATCCCAGGGGCGGCCGCCCGAGAGGCGGCCCGCTGCATCCTTCCCTAGGGAACACCAGTCCTGTCCGGGCGACTCGGTGCCCCGCCGCTCTGAATCCCGGCTGCCTCCTGCCGGGAACCTGGCTCGGAGAGGTTGGACGCAAACTAGCGAGCGGATCAGGCAGATCCAGAGACAGGGCCGCGAGGGGAAGGGCTGGATTGTCACGTTTGGGAATAGGGAAAGGACGTTGAAAGGGAAGACTGATAGAGGGCTCTGTGCCGTCTGGGGCTGGAGGTCCATTTAAAAAATGTATATACCTTGTATACACAAGGTAGATCTCGTGTCAAGGGCCTTCCTGCCAAGTAGTCATGAAAAGAATAATACTATTGCATTACTCAAGAAATTCAGTGCATATGGTAAGTTACCAGTTAACATAGTGAAAAGAATATAATCACTTCAATGGCTGTAAAAGGGGATTAAATAAAATTTAACACCTTTCTTCTAATAAAACATTCAAAGGGGAATAGAAAGAAACATTTCAGTCTCTTCATAATCAACCAAAATAGTAAGGTTGTTTTACCCACCAATTGAAAACAATTTTTTAAAAACCCTGCTGGCTTAGCTATGATAAGGAGCCGCTGATAATTGGTGGGGGTGTAAATTGATGTGGTGCTTTTGGAAAGTAATTTGATAATATATATCAACCATAAATTCCTTGAGCCAGTAATCCCTCTGTTTATCCTAAAGGAATAATTCAGCAAAAGAAAAGGCTATTTCCCAGAAAACTTTTTTAACAATTGTTATTAGGAAAATAAACTGGAAATAGGAAAACCTGCAAGTTGCTTAACATTGTATAAGTGTGATGATCTAAAGTGTGTTTTGGAAAAATACACAATATGCGGGAGTGTGTGTGTGTGTGTGTGTGTGTGTGTGTGTGTGTGTGTATACACACGCATATATATGTAATTACAGAGAAAAGGGAGTAGGATTCCCATCTAAACTGATGCATGTGACATTTAATTCTATATATTTCCACATTACTTCATCCTTTTTCAATAAGAGTGAAAATATTTTAATGTCATAGATAACTGTGTAGCAATTAAAAAGCATGAAGAAAGGCAACATCAAAATAATGTTCACACTATTTTGTATCCTTGGCAATAAAGTAAACTTTGTAATAACCCCTTAAAAAAAACACTATGATGATAATTGTGAAACTATGTATCCCCATAATCAAAAACAAGTTTATAAAATCATTAATATGGTTGGAGGTGTTCCCTTAAAAGAAATATCTTAAATTTTACATTGTTTAGTGGTTATCTCTTTGGAGATATACTGGGGTTTTCTTAATCATTTTCTGTATTTTTTAAGTTCTTACAATAAAAATATGTTACCATTTAATCAGGAAAAGAAAAATCACTGGATGTTATATAAATCCATTTGCAATGTGATTATTATGGAAAGAATTTACATGTTTACAGTCCAACTCCTTTATCTTATGAGGGGGAGGAATAGAGCATTCCATGTGCTACAGTAGCCACTGGCCAGACACTAGTGGAATTGGCCTGTGGGCTGAGTGGCATCCAAGTAAATCTCTGCGTTACACTGACAATGTTTTCTGATTTCTCAGTAGACAGTACTCATCTTGGCACTGGGAAAAAACTCAAGAAGAAAAATTTTTGATATGTAAAGATTAGATGGGGTTTGACCTCTGCTGGGCAGCCCCCAACTATAGGAGTTACCCTGCTGAGCAGAGAAGATGACTACAGAATTGAGAGAAGTCAAGGCTCTAGCCCCTTGGGGCCCAGTGAAGGTGAAAAAGGAGGAGGAAGAGGAGGAAGACTTTCTAGGTCAGGCTTCCAGCCAACAAGTGCCCTCTGAGAACATCAAAGTCTGGGCTCCTGGAGATGGTCTTCACACAGGCCTTGATGTATCAGAAGAAGAGGAAAAGGTAAAGGGTGGCCTGGGAGGAAGAGGGGAGAAGAGACGTGAGGACTTCAAGTAGCTTAAGTTGGGACTCTGCCCCTCTGCTTCCACACCTCGTGTCTTATTTCCTGGTTAGAGTTCTGATTTTTAGGTTTTTTGTAATATAATTAACTGGTGTGACATTCAATACTTTGTTTAAGCCAGTGGTTCTCAAACCTGGGGAGCTTTTTACAAAATCTTAAATGTCAGTTCTAATTTATTCCAATTAGATCAGGATCTAGGGGTGGGACCTGGGTATCTGTATATTTTAAAACTCTTCAGGTGATTCCAGTCAGAGGTTGACAGCACTAGCCAGTACTCAAACTTTAGGAATCACCTACAGGCTCTCGTTAAAATGTTAAATCTGATTCAGGAGGTTTAGGTTGAGGTCTGAGATTCTGCATTTCTCACAAGCTTCCAGGTGATACAAATACTGATGATCTGTGGACCACGCTGAGTAGTGAGACTGTAAACTGTGCTGTGTCCTTAATGTTTTCAAAGACATCCCTTACCATTACTAGTCAAATAAGGGCAGAGATCCCCCAGAGCCTTTCTGGAGAAATAAGGTTAGAACTTTGCTTCTTTGATCTTTAGACCTCTGAAAAGTTTTCTCTGAAAAATCTTCCCATATGCTCTCTCCTCTTGTCATGCACTCACTGGCAAGTTAGGTTTGGATTCTGGAGTGAGAATTAGGCAAAATCAAAGTAAGAGGGAAGAAGGAAGCAAGCTTGCTTCTCTGCCCAACTGACTTGAGGGTTAGCTAGGGGAGACTCTGGCTTTCTTTTCCATTAAAAAAAAAAAAGTTTTGTGGCCTCCAGGAATAGATACCTATGTTCTCATTCTCAAAACTGTACTCACCCCACCACCAGTCCCCTCATAAGCATGTACCTGCTTGTCTCTAGGATCAGAACATGTTCTGGGACATGGCAGTAGTCCTGAAAGCAACGCAGGAGGCACCTGCTGCTTCACCCCTTGGCAGCTACTCATTACCAGGGACTCTGGCCAAGAGCGAGATACTGGAGACTCATGAGAACATGAACTTTCTAGGTAAGGTTAACTCCCTGATTCAGAATCTGACCATTGAGGTTTCTCAAAATATTGTCAAAAACTTTGCTGGGCATCTGGTCTCCTAGTTTGAACAACAGAGAGTATTTTGGTGTTGAAAGTGTCAGAGAGGTCTGATAGAGGACTACTGAGAAATGCCTATGTTTTGTCATGGGAAATGGCTCATTTTGCACACAGGCTCAAGACATCAAACAAACATAGAATTCCAAATTCACTTTTTCATCATATTTATTGTTCAGTAAGTTTCATGTGCACTTGTAGGCATGTGTCCTGTTCAAGTGCTTTGTGGTTATCATAGTTGGTGAGTCTGCAAGAGAAGTTAGCTAAGGTAGGAATGGTCAACTTTTGTGGTGATTTTGAGAAAATGCCCTGGAAGTGTTCTGTTTTCATAGATCTTTGTACTAATTGTAGAAGATTTTGAGCGGCTGTGTCAACCATAATGTTGCCAAAACTAGGTATTGTACTGATGGGACTTATCATCTTATCTCTAAGCTGAGGCTCAGGAAAGGGTAATGTGTTCTAAATATCTCAGCCATGGCAGAAGCTTGACTATGAAGAAGTGACATATTACTTAGAATCAAGAATGCAGTAATTGTTGAGTCCTGTGTTGCAGAAGCAATTACCTGACTGACTGTCAGGGTCCCTTTTTTTTCTACCTGATACAGGCCTGTATCTAAATATTTTGAATCCATTGTCCTCCTTAGCCAGTTTTTCAACATTTGGAGACCAAATCATTTTCTTAAACCAGTGCTGTGGGAACAATTAGATCTCTACCTTTCATTTTCTTGTCTCATTTTTAATTATCCCCCAAACTCTCAGCAGCTTCTTTCTGCTTTATGTTCTATTCTCTCTAATGTGTTTACTTCTTTTCTATCTCCTTGCTTAACCAGCCATTCATAGTCTTAACTTCAGCAGCTAGCTGCACCCATACATCAGGAAGGGCCTCCATTTTTCCTGCTGTGCCTCTTACTTCAAGACCCTGTTCACACTTTTTATGTTGCTGGCTATTTCCATAGCAGCAGGTGATGCAAGAACACTGAGCTTTAGGAATAAGAGAGACCTGAATGTGATTGCCCACCCTGCCTCTGATAACTCTGTGACCTTAAGTAAGTCCTCTCCTGAGACCTTCATTTCTTGATCTACAAACTGGATGCTTTAATTCAAGAAATACAGGATTTGTTGACTGCCTACTTCCTATGTGTCCAGTAGTGTGATAGGTGCTGGAGATACAGAAATCAGTAACACACAACCTTGTCCTTTTTAAGGCTACCACACAATTGAAGGACAGTTTCATCTCCATGGTGAAATTGTACAAAATACATAAAAGTACTTTGGAAATTGTGTTTCTGGGGTTTTAACATCTGAAGGAGTTTTAACTACATCTATACATCTGTACATCTAGAAATATTTTAAATAAAAATGACAACATTTTTACTTTTTCTTTTTCTTTCTTTCTTTTTTTTTTTTTTTGAGCTGGAGTCTCCCTCTGTTGCCCAGGCTGGAGTGCAGTGGCACGCTCACGGCCACCACAGCCTCAATCTGCTGGGCTCAGGCAATCCTTCTGCCTCAGCCTTACAAGTAGCTGGAACTACAGGCACACGCCACAATACCTGGCTAATTTTTTGATTTATTGTAGAGATGAGGTCTCGCCAAGTAGCCCAGGCTGATCTCGAACCCGTGGGCTCAGGCAATCCTCTCACCTCGGCCTCCAAAAGTGTTGGGATTATAGGCATGAGCCACCATGCCTGGCCTACTTTTTCTTTAATTCATGTTGTTATGCTTCAACTTTTATGGATTAAATTTTTTAAGCATTTAACTCTGACTACATATCATATTTTCTTATATAAAACCATAATTGCAAATTTAATATATCTAATTCTTCAAATATTTTGAGCATCTAACAAGGCAGGCTTATAAGTCTTGTAAGTAGAATCTTGATAAACACACACCTTTTATAAGTGTAATGAATGGGATTTATGAATTTAGTAAATCAAATTACCTTTCTTATCTCAGAACACAGTCACCAGCTAGGATGGCAGGTTCATATAGCTTTTCAGATTTCTTCTTTTTAAAAAAATGAAAATACAGTATTGATTTCAAAACTTCTGTATGCCTGTGTTCTGGTTGATCACAAATTAGTCTAGTTTTTCATTATTTCTATACTTTTTTTTTTCTAGAATTACAGTAATCCTACTTGGTCCAAAAAAGGAAAAATACCATTTCAAACAAGCCAAGATGATAGGTCCTGGATTATTTGATGGTTAATCTTTTCACTTGAGGAGATTTGAACTTCAGGACACAAAATGGGCCTAAATTCTCTTGTCTTATACCCTAGATACTTGCTGTCTTTCATGTATGTAACATAGATATGGTCTATATCTTTCATGAATGTAACATTCTAAATCTCCCAGTAAGGATAATAGGCATGAAGGTCAGGGAGGGAATCCAGCTGTGAACTAGAGTTTTCTTGGACTCTGTTCCTGTTGGAGAAATACCTGGGGTGGGGGCGATGGGAGGCCCCAGTGTCCATGATGGGGAATTAAAGCAAAGGAGAGGAAGAAGCAAAGGAGAAAGAGCAGAGATGGAGACATTAGAAGGGAGAAAAATAAAGTGAGATGTAGGTAATGAGAAATAACAGAGAACATAAAAGAGGAGAAGGCAGTGCACAGATGAAAAACAGAAAAGACATAAAACTGTATATGGAACAATTCAGAATACTTCACACAAAAAATTTTTTTAAAAATAAAAATTGCCGGGCTCGGTGGCTCAGCCTGTAATCCCGCGCCTTTGGAGGCTGAGGTGAGTGGATTGCCTGAGCCCACGGGTTCGAAACCCTCCTGGGCAGCGAGACCTCATCTCTACAATAATCAAAAACTAGCTGGGCGTGGTAGCGTGCGCCTGTAATTCCGGCTACTCAGAAGGCTGAGGCAGAAGGATCGCCGGAGCCCAGCAAGTCGAGGCTGCAGTGGCCGGGAGCGGCCACTGCACTCCAGTCTGGGTGACAGAGTGAGACTCCAACTCAAAAAAACAATAAAAATAAAAATGAAAATCATGAGAGATTCTCATGTTTTCTGGCATTGTGTGGCCAGCTATGCCATAATCCAACAAGGTCAGCTTTCCTTGACAATGCTAAGCTGTTCCCTTGACACAAGGGTAAGGGTTTGCAAAGTTTCCACTTTAATATCTTACAGTATAGCTGTATATCACCATAGCAACTCCCCTCCCCTAAGGGTTTTTTCCTGGCCCCCCACAGCACCGTCAGTCAGGCTGAAAGTCACTACATACATTCAGATCACTTATTGTATTCCATGCACTGTTCTGAGCAGTTGACATAGAATAACTCTGTTGGTTCAGTCACAGCCTTATTATTTATTATCCCTGTTTTAGAGATTAGGAAACTAATCTCTAAATACTATTATTTATTATCCCTGTTTTAGAGATTAGGAAACTGAGGCATGGAGAAGTTAAGTAGCTAACCCAAAGTCATGACAGAGTAGGGATTTGAAACCAGGCATTCTGGTTCCAGAATCCATGTTTTGAACCTCTATGCTGCACAGCCTCTTAATGTTTCCTATGCTTTTGGCTGCTGTGGCTGTCTGGCATTAGTGTAACCCTTTCCATGCTTATTCTTTCTTTGACATCCAGCATCCTCAGACACAGAAGGCTAAGCTGCTAGATCTTTGTTCACAGGTAATGAATATCTCTAATTAACTGGTGGTTTGTAAACAAATCTACTCTAAGTAGCCAAGGTAAAAAGACAAGTCTGGGGAGAAGTTGGTGTCCTTTGTAACTGACCTTAGTTGTGAAAACAGTCATCAGACAACCAGGAGTGCTGTCTGGAGACTAGGCCTTCCTAGCACGTGGCAGAGGGTTGAGTGTCTAATGGAGGTAAGTGGAAGTGCTGGAAAGATCATGAATCAGTGGATTCTGCTGGGGCATGGGGAGATGGCACAGACTTGGCAGAAGACCCTACAGAGCAGTGGTAACAAGGAATTCTTGTCTTTGATGAAGGCACTTTGCAGAAATGATGAAGTCGCATACTTTCTCACCTTTATGACTTGATGATCCTATTCTTTTTCTAGACCAGAGAAAGCTAACATTTGTATTTTCTGTCTTGGTTCAGGTGCTGAAACCAAGAATCTACAGTTACTGGTTCCCAAAACTGAAATATGTGAGGAATCTGAAAAACCCCTCATAATGACAGGAAGAATCCAGAAAGCTGACCCTCACGAACCTGAGTCAGGAGAAGCCTGTGAAAAAGGAAACGTGTTAAAGAGGCAGAGAATAAAGAGGGAAAAGAAAGATTTCAGACAAGTGCCAGTGAATGACTGTCACTTACCTGAAATCTTCAAAGAGGAAGAAGACCAGAAATGTAAGAAATCTGGGGAAAAATATAACCTTAATTCTGGCACTGTTAAAAATCAGAAAATCCAGCCTGGGCAAAAGCCTTTTACATGCAGTGTGTGTGGGAAGGGCTTTAGTCAGAGTGCAAACCTTGTTGTGCATCAGCGAATTCACACTGGGGAGAAACCCTTTGAATGTCATGAGTGTGGGAAGGCCTTCATTCAGAGTGCAAACCTCGTTGTACATCAGAGAATCCACACTGGACAGAAACCTTATGTTTGCTCAAAATGTGGGAAAGCCTTCACTCAGAGTTCAAATCTAACTGTACATCAAAAAATCCACTCTTTAGAAAAAACTTTTAAATGCAGTGAATGTGAGAAAGCCTTCAGTTATAGCTCACAACTTGCTCGGCATCAGAAAGTCCATATTACGGAAAAATGCTATGAATGTAACGAGTGTGGGAAAACATTTACTCGAAGCTCAAACCTCATTGTTCACCAGAGGATCCACACTGGGGAGAAGCCCTTTGCCTGTAATGATTGTGGCAAAGCCTTTACCCAGAGTGCAAATCTTATTGTACATCAACGAAGCCATACTGGTGAGAAGCCATATGAGTGTAAAGAGTGTGGGAAAGCCTTTAGTTGTTTTTCACACCTTATTGTCCACCAGAGAATTCACACTGCAGAGAAACCTTATGACTGCAGCGAATGTGGGAAAGCCTTCAGTCAGCTCTCTTGCCTTATTGTCCACCAGCGAATTCACAGTGGAGATCTTCCTTATGTGTGTAATGAGTGTGGGAAAGCCTTCACGTGTAGCTCATACTTACTTATTCATCAGCGGATTCATAATGGGGAAAAGCCTTACACATGTAATGAGTGTGGCAAGGCCTTCAGACAGAGGTCGAGCCTCACTGTGCACCAGAGAACCCACACTGGGGAGAAGCCCTATGAATGTGAGAAGTGTGGCGCAGCTTTCATTTCTAACTCGCACCTCATGCGGCACCACAGAACCCATCTGGTCGAATAACAAGGAAGAGGAAGACCTCCGGCTTTGGTCATGACCCACTACCCGCCAAATCAGACACCTCTAATTTAAAAAAAATGAAAACTAAGTACCTAAAGGCAAGGACTTTGTTTTAACTGTACCCTAAGCAGTCGTGTTTTTTAAATGAAATTTTACTTTCTTAGGAACAAGTCATAAAAAACTAAGTGATAAAGATCCTATTTGGGGAAAGGTCTTTTTTGTTTAAATTTTTTTTTTTTTTTAACTCTGGCAATTGCTTGAACAACAGGCAGGTTATCTGCTTGGTTGAATGCTGAAGCTTTGAACCCTGGATTCTAGTATTTGGGGGTTAAACAGTGACTAGTTAAGGAAACTGTTTAGGGTAACCATTCAACAACAACTAATCTATGAACATTTATAAGCTTTCCCCAGGTAATTTTTCCCTTGGTAATTTTTAAAAAGTCAATCAAAACAAAAAACTATTAATTGTCTACTGCTCCCAAAAGGGACAGAAATAGGAAACAGCCTTTTTCTTGCTGTGTATACCTCCTGAACCTTGGTATCGTCAAGCTCCAGGGATCTCTGATGAGTCTGTTCTGACCATTCCCTAGTCTGTATGACCAAGCACTCAAGGATTGACGGAGACCCCATGCACAAGCTATATTCATTTGCTAAGATTGACAGCTTTTTCTCCAGACAATTCCTCAGTTCCCATCGCATTCCATTTGGGTGAGAGGCAACTATCTGCCCCTTCCTGGATAGAGGAATCAAAGAATAAAGCTTGCCTGGAGACATGCCCAAGTTGTCTCTGCTCTCATTCTGCTCAAGCTCAACGAAGGGCTCAGTTTGGGTTTCATTCTTACATTATGAATGGTGTTTACAGAAAGTGGTCACGCTCTTCTAATTCTGAGAGGACCAAAGAGGGAAAATGAAGGGAAAGGGAGGAGGTGAAGTGGGATTCCTGAGGTCTTAATTTGATTATTTTGAGAAGTTCAAAGGAATTGGAATACGAAAACTTTTAGAATGATGAAGAAACTAAGGTAAGGTATCTTTGTTACCCTTTCAGCCTTTATTCCCGCAGAAATCATTTATAAAACTATGCAATAGGTAGAGTTATGTAATAAATGCCTTGTATTTATACATAAATTTTATTCTTGTATACCTTCATGTATCAAATCATGATACCTGACACTTAATCTTGAACTTTCACATAGATCATTACCTTAATCCTTCTATCACTAAAAGAGGTATTTGCCCATTTACCTGAGAGTGGTCATTAGTGCAAGGCCAAGTAACAAGTGGCAGAGCTTATGCTCACATCCAGGACCTAAATCCAGGTTCTCTTTTTTTCTGCCATGCTACTCACCTAACCACCTGTAATCCCCACACAGACCTGTGGGGGAGCCTGAGAAAGGAGTATGTAGTCCCACTTTCAGGTGAGGAAGCTGAGGTGACAGATTTAGGGTGTGCCTTAGGCAATGTAACCAGAAGGCAGAAAACATAAGACTGGAATTTGGATCTCATTTCTGAGTCTGTACCGCCATCCTATTCCAATGTCTCAGCATCCAAGAGCATTTATCATAAATGCTGAGTACGGTATGGTTCTTGTGCAGAGGTCCCATGCATTTATTGTCTCATTTCTGCAAGACTAAATTACATAGTGCTTTTTAGGTTACTGAGCACTTGCACATACAGAAGGCATATATAAGAAAGCTTATTAATTTCCTCTTTTTTCCCCTTCAAGTAGTCTTGTCAAAGCATATGTAATTTCTTTTCCCAGTTTCACTCTAAATCATAGAGACACAAATACAAGGATTCAATAGTAGGTTCAAATGCTCATAACTTCTTTGACCCTAACAGTTAGTGGCTGTTCCTGCCCTCCTGTCTAGGAGTGAAGATAGCAACCAAGGATAACACCCTGCGTCTCTGTTGAGGTTAGGAACAAGTTAGAATTTTTGCCTGCAGAATCAGAAAGCTCAGAACAGCAGAAGAGCAGAACTGAAGATTTGAGATAACTGTAGCCTTGACCCACCAAGAGACCAAAACTGTACTTTCCTGAATAACAAGAGCAGCTGGGGTATATGACCACTAATACGGCTAAACTGTTTAGCTTGCATCATATATTCATCCTTATAATTGAGTATTCAATCATGGATGATTACAATTTCCTGGGCTAAAGATTTTCATTCTTAAGTAGTTCAGAAAAGCTACCCAAGTGATTCTGTGGTGATGGAAAGCTAGGTTTGGGAATCACTGACCCAACCTTGCAGTAAAGCAGTGGTTTTATTTTTTGTTTTTTTATTTTTTTGAGTTGGAGTCTCACTCTGTCGCCCAGATCTGGAGTGCAGTGGCCACTCCCAACCACCACAGCCTTGACCTGCTGGACTCCGGTGATCCTTCCGCCTCAGCCTTCCATGTAGCTGGAAGCAGCGATTTTAGACCTTAGCTTCATGTTAGAATCACATAGGTCACTTTTTAAAATTTCCATTCATAGGTCTCAGTGTTTTTGAAAACTCTGGAGGAGATTACAATATGCAGCCAAGATTATGAGCCACTGCAGCAACAAAGTAAAGCCTGCAGACCAAGAAAGTGTGAGCAAAGGTGGAGACAGTGGTGGTCGGGGGATGGGGCCTTCAGCATAGGAACCTGTATATGCAAATTGTTCTATGTTGTTTCAGCAAAACAGGACACTTATTTTACATTGGTCAGACTTGGTGTCCTTTATTGCCCCTGCCAACTCTTAGATGTTTGAAGATTCTGCAACTGAACTTATTTGTATTTAAGTGAGTATACCAACATTTTATTTATATGAGCAAACTAAGTTTTATATAACATACTTTTAGGCATGTATTAAGACTTTTTACTTTTCTACTTGCATTTCATTAACCTGTACCCAGGTTCAGGACCTCTGATCCCACACAAATCTTGTGAGCCAAGTGGATTACTAGACACATCAGATCCTTCCCCAGCTAATAACAACCCACCCTCTTAATTTAGTTCCAGCCCTTAAAATAAATTATGACCCGCCTTTTCTTTACAGCTTCCAATAAAGGAAAAATGAACAGCCTTGTCAGAGTTGGCTTAGGTTTTCCTGTTCTTTGAAGTCATCTCCCATCTCTCCTGGCTGGTCCTGCCAGGAGTGGTTGGGAACACTGAAGTCCCATTTTTCTAAGTTGCTAGCAGCTATCAGGCTTTTAGGTGTCAGACAAAGAGCTCTGTGCCAGGTCTAGGGATTGGCATTAAGAGTAGAACTAGGGATCTGTCCTCACCCTCACATGAGACCAACAGATTTGTATTAAGTGGAGCACAGTGATGCAGAACTGTTAACAAAATCATGTACAGGTGCTTTGGGAGCACAAGGGAAAGACTTTATCAACCACTAACACACACACACTTCCAAACACAGCTATGAATACACACACACACACACACACTTCCAAACACGGCTATGAATTCCTCCGTGTTTAGTAAGAGGTGTCTTTGGGCAAAGCTAATTCTTCATCTGTGCTTTGGATCCTCTCTCTTCCTTGCCCAGGCAGGTATCCCTCTCCCACATCTGTTACCACTTGCTTCTTCATCCAGTTTGCCTAACCGTCTGGGGTTGCAGTCCCTTTGAGAGACTGATGGAGATTGTGGTTCCTCTCCTGAGAAATGTGCATTGCACATTGAATTTTGTGCTCATTGCGGGGGGGGGGGGTCATCCAGACTCCCTGGAGCTGATCTGTAGACCCTTTGGGGCCCAACGTCTAATCTGGGGATGCACTGCATAATCACCAGTGACTTTTTAAAATAAAAAAGAATAGGTTGACTGGGCACAGTGGCTCACGCCTATAATCCCAGCACTGTGGGAGGCCAAGGTCAGAGGATTGCCTGAACCCTTGGGTTCAAAGCCAGCCTGGGCAATTTGGTGAGACCGCATCTCTACAATTAATCAAAAAAATTAACCAGACATGGTGTCGCATGCCTGTAGTTTCAGCTACTTGGAAGGCTGAAGTGGAAGGATTGCTTGAGTCCAGCAGGTCGAGACTGGTCGCCAGGAGCATGCCACTGCCCTCCAGCCTGGGTGACAGAGTGAGACTCCAACTCAAAAAAGTCAGAGTACAGAATCTAACAGTGTGGCCAAGACACATAACCTTTAAAATTTTGCATCTCCCAGATTCCCTCACTCACCAAATAGCATTATCCTCACCACCTGGGGCACCCAGATTGGATAGCCAGGAGGCATCTCTGACTTTCTAGGCATCATTTGTTCATTAGGAAAATCTTGTGCATTCTCTTTGTGGTGAACTTTGGGCTAGATTCTGGAGTGCCAAAGCAAACAAGTTCTGCTAATCCTGTTCTCAAGACTATTATGAGAATAACATGGATACCTAACATGATTTACTGAGTTTTGCATATTTGCTTTCCAACCTCATCTCGCTTTCATGCATATTTTACTGCAGTCTCAAGGCACGTACTTGCTCTTCTGTGCCTTTGCTCACACCTTTCTCAGTGTCTGTAATACCTCATCACTACTCCCTACCCAACCCCCTTCTACTTTACCAACCACAGGTTTCTTTTAAGGTTAAGTTCAAGTCTCATCTCTGGGAAAACCTCTGACTGCACTATGGTCAAGGGCATATTGGGAATTATATTTAGAAGAATACAAGATTATGATAAGCTGTGTATCTAGAGTTTTACTTTATGCTTTAAAATGAAAAAAAATTGATTGAAAATTGTATATAGGCCAGGCATGGTGGTTCATGTCTGTAATCCCATCACTTTGGGAGGCTAAAGCAGGAGGATCACTTGAGGTTAGGAGTTCAAAACCAGCTTGGGCAACACATTGAAATCTCATCTCTACAAAAAATTTAAACTTGGCCAGGTGTGGTGACACATGCCTGTAGTCCTAGCTACTTGGGAGACTGAGGCAGGAGGATTACTTGAACCCAGGAGTTTGAGATTACAGTGCGCTATGATTGAACCACTGCATTCCAGCCTGGGGGACAGACCCTGTTTCAAAAAAATTTTTTTTAATTCTGTGTATAATACAGTTCTCATATACTGTTGCTGTTACAAGTACTATCTACTACTAAGAAGTATATAGATAAATTACTTGAAGGGAATATTATAAGTAGTTAAATGACTTGTTCACAGCTATATGGATGGTAAATTCTAGAGCTTAGACTCAAACCCAACTCCTCTGGATAATAGGATTATGGATGATTAAAAAGTTTTTTGTTTTTTAGTAATTTCTGTATTTTCTATAAGGAGCAAGAATTTTATAATCAAAAATAATTATTTATTATATTTACATATCTAGTTTTATTGCATTCACTATGAATAGTGTCTCAGTTCCCCATTTTGAAGATGTTGAATGTACCCTTCCCTTCCTTTCTCTTTTTCTACCTCCCTGTCTCTAACGTTGCCAACTCTAATTCTTTTTTTTTTTTTTTTTTTTAGTTGGAGTCTCACTCTGTCGCCCAGACTGGAGTGCAGTGGCCGCTTCCGGCCACCGCAGCCTCGACCTGCTGGGCTCCGGCGATCCTTCCGCCTCAGCCTTCCGAGTAGCCAGAATTACAGGCATGCGCTACCATGCCCGGCTGATTTTTTGATTTATTGTAGAGATGAGGTCTCGCTGCCCAGGCGGGTCTCGAACCCGCGGGCTCAGGCAATCCACTCACCTCAGCCTCCCAAAGGCACGGGATTACAGGCTGAGCCACCAAGCCCAGCTGCCAACTCTAATTCTTAAAAACTCTATTCTGTAACCAATTAGTCTTTAATGCTTTGTGTTTTGATTGATTTTAAAAGTTGAAAA